CCTGAATAGATTGTACTTTCTTTTCAGTTATCATGCTGACGCGAATGGGCAGTTACAAACCAAATTTTATCCGTGTATATGACAGACGAATTGAGGAACTAGACTTCCCGATTCCCAGGAAAACTATTCACTCTAGAAGTAGCACAAGAAGTGAAAATGAAGATTTACATTGTGTAGCTCTTCATCATCTTATTCGAGAGAAAGGCAAGAATTATGCTGAAGAAATATTGGCTAATGATAAATTCTTCAAAGATAATAACTATAAGTATATTCCAAAAGACTGTAAAAGAGTATGTCCATACAGTTAGGGAGGTGTCGATAGAAGAGATAAAAAAATATGATGTAATTCTTTGCACAACAAATTGTGTGTATAAAACAGGAGGTTATTAAGGCAGTGGATGTTTACCAGGTAAGGATATTTATTATAGTAGATATAAACAAAATCATTGTACTTTGTCTTGCGAGCCTATACCATGCAATGTGAACATGGACTTGCAATTGCAAGCACATGCTTCTTATTATCACTGTAACTCTTTGGGAGCCTATACCCTTTCTTGCGATAACAGGAAATAGACAAGGTTATATACTGCGATGTTATTTGTTTGCTTTCTTCGTAATGTGAACAATAATAATGATAGTGAATATCCATTTAAATACAATTAGAAACGATTTTATTATATAAGATATGAGTATTGTTGTATAAAGACACATTCACATTATTCTCAATTTATCCGAAAAAGTTTTCTTATTTACAAAAAGAAAAGAAAATTATAAGCATCTACATTTTCATATAAATGATTCATCAATAAAACAATTCTAAGGTGTAAGTTTAATTTAACATGACATTTATAAATTTCCACATTCTTATCTTTGCCATTTTGCTTTAGATTATAATTGACGATGCCGCAATGTGTACAGAACCACAGACACTTGCTACAATCATTGCAACTAAGGCTGAGCATGTTGTTCTCATAGGTGATCATAAACAATTAAGACCAATGGTAAAGTGCAAAGAAGCAGCGCTCCTTGGTTTGGAAAAGTCACTGTTTGAAAGATATGCAACAACAGAATCTTCTCAAAATGTCCCGTTTACTCGACTATCAGACCAATACAGGATGGTACTGACATTTGTAAAACAATAACCATTATGTAATTTTATGTTAATTCATATAACACACACGTTATTGATTCACCGCTTAAATGACTTCATTTATATCTCTACATGTGAAGATAATAACTAAATTAGATATTCTGTTTGTCGTTTTCACTGTTTAAAATAATTCGTTGCAATTGTAAAATATGAACAATAAGAAGAAAATATTCACAACGCACGCTTTACTAAGAGAAATGACATGAAAAGACTTTCTGCGACTTGTATCAAGTCAAACCGACCGTGTCATTGCCGTCTGTTGACTCTCCCTTGAAGTCACTTTTACGACAAATTCTTCTAAAACCGTGCAGTTGGGCAATACAGAATTATATATCAAATTACCCAAAAAGAAGGTGCGTTTTATTTATCAATATTTTTACCAAATCAATGAATGTCGCTATTCACGTACAGCGTTGACTGATGCATTCTAATTTGTTTTCAAAAAGTTTTGTTTAACCCTTTCCCCCATGAGCATATTGTGAAAAATGGCCATTTTCACTGAAAAGCCTCCTGTTACAAGTTCAAACTGCTATGAAACTATGAAAAATGCTTCAATACTAATCAAACTTGGCACAAATGTTGACTGGACCATTGCCTTTGTAACGACATGCTCAGTCTTAAATTTCCTGTTACCATGGCAACGAGGGGACATCTCAAAATTGCCAAAAATCACTTTTTTGCCTCCATTTTTTCCATCAAAATTTATTTCAAAGTGCTGCAACTTCTCAAGGGATTGAGATAGAGTCAAAGGCTTTTCAGCGTTGGTTACACGTTACCTTATGATCAACCTGGGGTCATTTTAAGCCTCTCACAAGTCCAAAATTTTCTTGGCGATGAGGGGGACTCCGCCCCCTTCAAACCCCCAAACAGAAGGGGGCACATCCCCCTTCTGGCAACACCCCTGATGTCATATTTGGATGGGGGACGGCGCCGAAAAAATGGTCACTTTTTTTTACAACATTTCTCAAACAAAAGACAGTGTTTGGGGCCTAAATAGGGCATTTTTTCACTGTTTGAGGCCTCAAAAAGGGGGGGGGGCAAAAAGCCGTCGAAACACGCTTATATAAGGGAAAAGGTTAACAAAAAATGATGAAAAACCTTGGAATCACCCAAAATCTAGTTTTTCCATGTTAACATGTTGTCTTTTACCTAATTTTGGTGAAAAATTGTTGTTTTGTAACATTTATAATTTTTTTAGTTAAGGGGAAGAAAATTAACGAGTTATTTTTTATCATATTGTATATTTGATATGTTTTTTATTTTCAGAACCCTGAAATTTGCAGATTTCCTTCAAAACACTTTTATGAATCAGCACTAAGAACAATGCGAGGAATATGGGGAGAAGATAGTCTACATATATGGCCAAGGGATACAAAAGGAAATACTTATCCGCATGTACTTATTCATATTGAGGGAGAGGAGCACATGGTAACTTTGTCCATTAATGGGAATGTGAAATCATGGAGAAATGATGCTGAAATCAATCACGTGGTAATATATCAGCATTATACTTTGGAAGATAGTTATAGAATATGATAAAAGAAAATCGCTTATATTTCATGTCACACAAAAAGTACTGGTGACTTGCAGAATACATTCAGTTTTGTCCGGAGTTGATCTTCTACATACGTGTTGGTATTAGAATGTTATTTGACACAAACGAACACCACTATGAGACGTTCTGTAAGGTCAATTTGACACTTAAAACGATTGCCTTGATCGTTTTGCATGCAAGATACTTCAAATATTTCAAGATATTAACTTGGCACATTGTAAGGCAATGTGTCAGTTGCAAAATTCAAGTCCTTACAAACAAAGTCAAGGCCACACTTGGACGTCAAAAGGCAGATTAATAAAATGCAAATGTTTATTTGAACAACTTGTTTGTATTGAGTAAAAGGGCCTTAATTTTAAAAAGTTTGTATAGCCAAAATAATCTAGGTCAATATATTTATGGCTAAGTCACTAAAGATGATTTCAAGGCAACATTCAATTTATATCTTTTATACACGAATTTAACATTACTGGACTCAAATGTTAACCACCATCAAACGTTTTGTCGAGTGAATGAATCAGTTCTGTAGATCAAATATCAGGGTCAAATTTAGAGGAAAAAAAACGCTTGTTAACAATTGCGAGGCGGTGCCGCGTGAAGGAAACAGGCTTCTGCAGTTAAGGTCAAAACTCACATAAATATAAAAAATGATTGAGTATACAACATATAGTTTCTGCATGCATGCATGGATTATAGAATTACTTGACACAGATGTTTACCACCATGAGACATAAGGAATATTCACAAGCATAAGACTTAGTATTTTAGCATAAATCAAGTCAATATTATATATGTAATGTCAATGTCACCAGCCGTGACTGTCTGTAGGGAGTTTATGTAAACTATATATTTTACAGAGGTGTCTTATTTATTTTACTTTTGACAAACATGTTAACCATCATGTGTATTAGTGTTGGACACAAATTGCATGTCGCTATATCAAAGGTCAGGTACAGGTGTGAGGAAAACAAATGCACATGATTAAGTTACTACATACATTAAGGTATTGTAAGGCACAAATATTTGACATTGGGAGACATCGTGTTGGATTAAACATTTATTTTCTTCCTTTTGCCAAGGCCATTGTCACAGATAGAGTTCAATTTAGGGGGAAAATGGAACTGTGAGTATTGATCATTTAAACGTTATGAATTTTGGATTTAATATCATGAGACTGAGCAGTAGTGGCGAGCATATTTTTGTCTTGTTTCAGATTGCCACTTTCTTATATTTGACTAGAGAAGTTCCAAATGAAACTGTTCAGATCTTGTCGCAGTATGATGCGCAATGTTCTGAGATAAAAAGAAGGCTTGAAGAAAGTGGTATAACAACAGCAGATGACATTGTAAGCACAGTCAATTCAAGTCAAGGTCTGTTTTAAAAGCCTTTTTTATCAAATTACTCAGACAAAAGTAAACTGTTATTCACTCGTCATTTATATTCATTTATGTATTTTATTGATTTTATAGTGCAATTATTTAAGTTCTTTGAAAAAAAAGATTTCTGTAACTCGCTGTCCAATAATTTGTCTTAAAATGTTTACATCATTGATAGGTCATCGGTCCTCTTAATGTTTGTGTTTCTTTTTAATGCCATCAAATATTTTGATTTAATTGTTGGTTTTGATTTTTGTATATATATTGTCAAGATCTTGACGCAGTATGATGCGCAATGTTATGAGATAAAAAGAAGGCTTGAAGAAAATGGTATTACAACAGCAAATGACATTGTACTACTGCGCATCATACTATCGTCAAGCCAGATTGCGAGTAACGATTAATAAGCTACATAATTGCTATAATAACTTATAATAATGAGTCTACCAAACGTGTAGTGTCATGTATTTAATCAAAGACTTCGATGACGTTTTTTTACAGAATGCGAATGTAGCTATGTGATATTTAGCACTGTACGGTCATTACCGGAATGTAAAATAATCAATAATCCTACTCCTGAATGGTGCCAGCGTACCTTGGGGTTAATCAACGACATGAATCAGGTCAACGTGGCCCTAACTAGAGCTCGGAAGGGACTCATCATCATAGGTAGATATTCTGTTCAAAATGTATTGCTTGTTTTGTATTATAGATGCAAGTTTTGGTCAAGATAATAAATCATTCCTCAAAACATTAATTGATATTCATGGAGTTGACAAGAACATCATTATAATAGACGGTTAATGCAATAATATCTTCAGATAGACGGGGCGAATTTAAAGCCCATGCCCGCAGGGTGAGGGATAACTGTGTCAGATAGCATAAGCGCTATTCTTGCATAAAACTTTACTTGTGATTTTGCGTTACGTTATCTGTTTTTAATGTTTCGAAACTAATTACGTCATGCTCTTTTTTACGTGGTAATGCTCTTTTTTACGTGGTAGTGCGTTACAATATGACAGTTATGTTTTGATAATGAAACGATCGGGCCGTCATTGCAAAAAGCTATGTTACATGGTGCCCTAAGTCACGCATTTTTAGCTCGACTATACGAAGTATATGGAGAGCTGTCCTACTCGCCCCGGCGTCGGCGTCCGCGTCCGCGTCCAGATTTTAGATTAAAGTTTTGGTGCAGTAAAATATTGTTCACTATAACTTTGTCATTTCTTAAGGTATCAACTTCAAACTTCAAATATATGTTCCTTATCACCAACCACATCTTATGTGACAAGGTTCATAACTGTAGCACCAATATTTTCAGATTTATCTACCCTTGAACTTAGAATTGTCCTAAAAAAAATACTATTTTTTACTGTTATTTCTTTATTTCTTAAGGGATCAACCTCATACTTCAAATATATGTACCTTACCATCATCCCCATCTTATGTGACAAGGTTCATAACTCTAGCACCAATATTTTCAGATTTATCTCCCCTTGAACTTAGAATTTTCCTCAAAAAATACTATTTCTTACTGTTTCTTCTTTATTTCTTAAGGGATCAACCTCATACTTCAAATATATTTACGTTATCATCATCCCCATCTTATGTGACACGGTTCATAACTCTAGCACCAATATTTTCAGATTTATCTCCCTTTGAACTTAGAAATTTCCATAAAAAATATTATTTTTTACTGTTAGTTATTTATTTCTAAAGGGATCAACTTCATACTTCAAATATATTTACGTTATCATCATCCACATCTTATGTGACAAGGTTCATAACTCTAGCACCAATATTGCAAGAATTATCTCCCCATAAACTTAGATTTTTTTACTAGCTTCAAATACTTATTCCTTATCATCAATTACATTTTATGTGACAATGTTCATAACTCTTGAAGCAATATTTACAGATTTATCTCTCTTTGAACTTAGGATTTTCTTTAAGAAATATAATAACTTCTTTACTTTTTAAGGTATCTACTTCAAACTTCAAATATATATTTCTTATCATTACACAAATGTTGTGTGGCAAGGTCCATAACTCTAGCATGACTATTTCTAGAATTATTCCCCTTGATCTTGAAATTTATGTTAACAAATGTTATTTTTTTACTATAACTTAATACATAATTATACATAATTGATTTTTCTTTCATAGTTTTGTCCTCCTTACTGCGTCCAGTATTTTATTAGTCGAGCTTCGCTGTCTCCTGTGACAGCTCTTGTTTAAACGTGTGACAACGTCGCGAGCTCGCATGATTTTATCCGTAATTGCATGTTTTCATCTTGCATATATGCGTGCACAGATTTTATGCAAGAATTATACTTGGCATTATGTATTACAGGAAACATGCTGGTTTTTTTTTAACTTAACTAACGTGAGTCCAAATGTTAACAAACGAAAACTGTTAACATTCCGCTGACCTTAATTTTATCAAATATGCAAAGAACTGTGTCTTTAAATCTATTTCGCACTTTACAAGGAGAATTTGAGATACATAATATTGGAAAATGTAGATGAAAGATACTATTCAAGATATTGTGGAAAATGCGATTTTTCCTAGAAGCAAATATTTGCTATATTAATGTAATAAGATGTTACGTTTGTTCTCCACAAACATGTACGATCATCGGTAAAGTTGAGGGTTACACAGACAATTATTGTCAATGATTATAATCACAGTCACATTTATCTTTTACTTTTTGTCTCAAGATGACATAAAGGTCATATTTTTTATATACTACTATTTATCAGTTACATGAAACTTGAAGATTTTGAAGATAGAAATATGTACCCAAAGTTATGGTGATCTTGACATGTCACTAGAAAAATTAAGTTTATGACGTACAGTCAGTATGGTCAACAATTGTAAACTGTTTTAATTGAAACAATTTCCAAATTCAAGGTCATTTCGACGATAAAGAATGCACGAAACAAAATGATGACCTACTACACAAGAGCGGTCATCGTAGTATCGCAGAAAATGGGAGACAGAATAATAACAAAGTCAAAATATATGGATAAAACATAAAAAGAACAATTCATGATTTGCAAGAAAAACTATTTTCTTATTAAACATTGACAGGTAATAGAAATTTACTCGCATGTGACTGCACATGGAAAAAAGTTGATACAACATTACGAAGTACGAGGGTGTATAAAGACACCCGAAGAGTTCCCGCCGCAAAATATAAGGAGGAGTCGACGGGAAATAATGAGAGAAGCCATTTTGAAAAGCCATCAAAGATATGACAAGTAGGTTTCTTTGTTTTGTTGTTGTTGTTCCGTCACACATAAACTGTAATGGTCATAAAGCGATTTTCCATCTTTACTGGTCGAGGAAGACCTTATGTGTTCCCTCGGTTATTATTTCAGGCAAGAGCGGGCACCTGAGTAAGAACCACTTACCTTATGATAGCTAGCTGGATAACTTCCTCACTTAATGAATCTTGGCATACTCGTAATATAAGTGTGTTCTTTTTCGATGATTATATAGTTGTAAATATTGCTTCTTTAACATAAAAATCTGCAAAATTAATTGACCAGTTCTTTTTATTTGACAACACTATAATTCTATTGAATAATTAAACTAATTATTCTTAAACTAATATTGAGCGATAATTTGTCTTTTTTCAGGAAATAGATCCATGGAAACCGTACAGTTGGCATAGACAATCATAAATTGTGAAATCATTACATTGATGCATGGCATTGTATTATCATGTTTTATAGAAAAATGTTTATTTTATGTCTAATGTTGTTGTGTTTTAACAGTTAAATGTACATTTAAGTGCAATTTTATAATTATAACATGTAGCTTTAAAGTGGTATTTATTACACGCCCGTACATTATATTCTTAAATAAGCTATTTTAAGCCTTACAACCGAGAGTTATTGGACTATGTACACATTATAACAGAGAGGTATTTGTTGTCTATGTCGCCAATTACATCATTTATCAGGAGTAAATATATCCATCATTCGAAAAAATGTCAAATTCATCAAAAATATTCCCGTTTCCTTTACTTAATCCATCAATGCATTGTGAATTGAATATAAAGGGTCATGATTAAATTTAGTATCATACTGGGGTTTATTAAGTTGTTAATTCACCAATGTAATCTTCCTTTTTTATCACTATAGTACTTGATGTGTCCGCCTTTTTATCACTTTGCTTTCATCGCTTGATAAACCTTTTAAAAGATTCGAGTTCAGGTTTTGAAATAGTCGTATGATTTCTCCGTTTTGGTTCGGCCTTAAGGATCTCTTGATTCGCAGCTTCTATGTAAAAATCTAAGTGTTTATCTCACTCGGCAGTTGGCAACAAAATGTTCTGTTTTTTTTACTTTTATTCCTATTTTGATAAATACTTTAATTTACTGTTTTATTTAAACATTTTATTTTATATGCATACGGTTTTAAATGATACTCAAAAATGTTTCTCAATTTTAATAAAGTTTCTATTGTTATTGTTATTGCCAATCCTAAAACGTTCAATAAATATTTACTTTTTAGTTTTTATATATACTTATGATTGGTGTTTAATTATTTATTACATATCTGTGTTGTTCCCTTTTGTTTTTTGACAGTCCACTTGAATGTTTATTTCCGCACGAATTATGTCAGTCAACACAATCGTCCGTTTTTACACCTTTACGTTGTCGTATTTGTAAACATGTCTGTCAATATATCTTTCTGTCATGTTATCTCCCTCTGCAAAAGACTGAGCAGTTCTACGAATAAACTTTATGGACATTGTTAGTAAAAGAAATAAATATGATGCAGATGAGTTGTAGTAGTGGTTATTGTAGAATCTGAAATGGTAGTAGTACATGTAGTTTAGAACTTGAAATCCGTGGCATGGTTTTACAATTTCTATGAAAAGCATGAAACCTGACGTGCATTTCATTTTATCGAAACCTGTGACCTTGACGTCCGATATTGGTATTTCTGTTACTTTCTTTGTTGTAATTTCTATGTAGCTAGATACCAATACCTTCTAAATTGTAACTTTTAAATATGTGCAAGGCAAATTTCCTATTATAACTTCTAATTGATGTGATATAACTTCTAAATGATGTTATATAAAACAAATGCGAATACTGAGACTTAATATAACATTATGTTTTATGAAAATCACAGTTAGAGATTAGCAAATTAGGACACAGGGTAAAGAATTAAAACATCAGCATTAACAATTTTAACTAACAAAATATGTGTAATACATTTTGCGTTCAGGATTTGTGTGACAAAATTATATTTTTTACACTATTGATTATCTTTTTCATTCATACACACAAGAAAATGGGGACATAGAAAAAAGAAACTGTGACAAAAAATATTAGAATATTAATTTACCAGTGTATCACTGTAATGTACATGCAAGTCATTTACATGAATGTATTTAATTACAAGCAAGAAAAAGTAATTTACTTGAATGGAATTTTACTTTTAGACACTTTCATACATATAGGTTGTTAAAATGAAATAATGACCGTTTGATTTCATAAGTCGAGTAATCAAAATTCTCAGTTTAAACAGTATTTATGTAATTTTATTTCCCTGTGAGTGGTAAAAGTAAAGCATTATGTAAACTAACAACACGTTATAGTACACTAGTTACTTACATGAAAAAAAATATACTTAAGTGTGAAATGAGTAATAATAGTACAACAAACGGGAAAAAAATGTTATTTATAAATGGTTGCAGGTACGGAAGAAAATATTTAGTTGTGTGGTTTTGAATTAAAACAAATATTTTATACTTAATACATGTAATAAAATGTTTGTTTCTAATTGCACATGGTAATATATGGAAGTAATCTAGATGGTAAGATGGTAAGATAGTTATAAATATAGATTGACACGGACCATTGTCATTGAAAGATATGATAGGTAAAAAAAAAAAATTCTTGAATGAGAAGATTCATCAAAGGCGTAAAAACCAAAAAATTCATCAATCGAATATTGCAGATTTGGTTTTTATTTAGTATATTCAGGAGAGATATCTCTCGAATGATTTCCTTATTCAAGAATTTAATTTTAAGTTTTCGTTGTTGAACAAATATCTGCCATAAAGGATATAAGTATTTATGCAAATGGAAACATACATATACATGTCGAGAAATCTTTGATAAAATTTCCTAGATAAAATAAAACACTAACCCATATCTTTTGAAATGTTAGGTAAATCGTTAGTTCACAAAAATAAGGATAGTGAAACGTGGCATAATGATATAATTATTCCAGTGTTACAAATATTTCAACGTAAGAAAATAATTACATGTACATGTATTTATATGATGCATTATATATATACATGTATCTTATCAAATTAATTCAAAACAATGTATGAAGTTCACTTCTCTGTATGTTTTTCTAGACAGTGGTAACTTATTTAACATTAGGTTAAGTTGAATTTCCTTTTGTTCTGATGTTCATTTAAATGATGATATACAATTTTGTGTATACCTTCTTCACTTTAACATGTTATGTATATGCTTTACACTGTCTTGTCATTTATCATGTATCTGTTTATCCTCATGGACCATTTGGTCCAATGGAATATTGAAAAAAACTTATTATCAAGCTTTCAAGAACAAGAGAAATCCCAATTCAATGCCAATTCCGTCGTTCATCGGTTTATGATTATTTATAATCTGCGATTTGCCCTAAATGGTACACGTGTGAACATTCTAAGCCTACATGACGAGAAATGCCGAATATTCACGAACTTATGATTTACTGAAACGAGGGGCATTCTACCCGGTATTTACCGATATCAAAATGCTTGGTAAGTTGAATTAAAACAATATCTATTCAAGCTGCAGGTTGTCAACTCATCTTGAAAATCGAAATCATTTGAACGTAATCATACAGGGTACACGCCTATTTATTTTTATTTGTTGGTTGGTTGGGTTTGACGGCGCACCAACACAGTTGAGTTCATCTGATGACTTTTTAGCTGAACTAGAGGAGAAAGACCTCAGGCGCCCTCCCATGCATTATTTCAGCACGAATAGGCATGGAATTGAAAGTCCCTAGCAAGATTCAAACCAACAGCGTTGAGGGGCATGTGGGTTTCTTCTAAAATAGAAACAAAAATATCAATTACTACATTAACACGTGGATAATAAAAAACGATATGCAGACTATCCGGACTAATCAGGAGCGTAAGGGTTGGAAAGCTTCAGGAAAGATATGCTACTGTGAGGACAACGGACTGTTTAGCTACAATATCATCAAGCACTATCCCATTACCGAGTGAACCGAGTATCAGGTATGTGAAGTTGGCTTGTACATTGTACATCGTAGTTCAGCTTGTAATTCGCCAATTACAAGCTAATAGTTCGGTATTCAGCTTGTAGTTCGGACCAAATACACCAGCATACGCAATATTTGAATTGCCAGCTAGTTGTTGGGTATTCAGCTTGTAGTTCGGACCAAATACATCAGCATACGTTATATTTGAATTACAAGCTTGTAGTTGGGTATTCAGCTTGTAGTTCAGCCCAGATACATCAACATACACAATATTTGAATTACAAGCTAGTAGTTGGGTATTCAGCTTGTAGTTCGGACCAAATACATCAGCATACGCTAGATTTGAATTACAAGCCTGAGTTGGGTATTCAGCTTGTAGTTCGGACCAAATACATCAGCATACGCTAGATTTGAATTACAAGCCTGAGTTGGGTATTCAGCTTGTAGTTCGGACCAAATGCATTAGCATAAGCTATATTTGAATTGTACAAGCTAGTAGTTGGGTATTCAGCTTGTATTTTGGACCAAATACACCAGCATACACAATATTTGAACTACAAGCTAGTAGTTGGGTATTCAGCTTGTAGTTCGGACCAAATACACCAGCATACTGATGTATTTGGTCCGAACTACAAGCTGAATACCCAACAACTAGCTTGTAATTAGCGAATTCGATGTACAATGTACAAGCCAACTTCACATACCTCCGAGTATCGACATTCTGCTGCTTCTTTAAATTCGGAACACCTCGCCGATTATTCCTAATTAAAACTAATCCGGAGGTAGACGGATATAGCAGGTATACGTATATGTTGCTATTGTTTGCTGATGCAATCCAACTAATCAGAAATTTTTACTCTCCCGCCATCTGAACCAATAAAACAAATTTTTTATAGCTTTTAAAGAAGCAAACTTGTGTTATAGCGTACTATGTATTGACAAAATTTGGCTGTTGTATAATTATGTATTCTAACACTATCGGAATTGTTTCTATATAAACAAAGAAGGTCGGAAGCGTGCATTATTCTACAAGAATGCACTTTTATTACCTCCCTGTGTATTTTCAAACCGACACATTGACGGCGCCATTTTGCTCGAAATATCTGATAAAAAAAATGTGTTGATTTTTGTTGCGAAAACTTTCTAGAATGAAAGATAATGGTCTTACTCAGAAAATGAAACCGAACACCAAAATCTTTAATTCAGTTGTTAACGCTGTACAGACTTTTAAAAGGTTGTATACGTAACGTCACAATTTAGCGCCAAACAGCACGTTCCAAAACAATCAAATCAAGACGCTATTTCAATGTCGCAAACGAGTTAAATTTCACTATTAATACTTTGTATTTCGCTTCAAAAATATAGAGTGAAAAAAATAAACAAAGTTTTATCGACAATTTAAAATTCGTTATTGTCAAAATGTTTCTACATACAGTAGATTTCAAGACAGTTTTTTTTAACTCACTGGAACAGCATTTAAAGAACGTTTCTATTGGAAACCCCTGAGGCGAAAACAAATTTAACCACCAAACATAAAGTCCAAAAATATAATAATTATTATATTTTTTCTTGATGTGTTAGAATGGAAATAGATATTAATTCTTCGTGCATTACTGTATAATTATGCACGTTTTTTCGTTCAAATGCTTTGTGATTAAACGCTCAGGCCTATCGGCTTTCGTGATTATATTAGTACGCATTTGAACTCAAACCGTGC